GGCATACAGCATAAAAAATATTGATAGCTGGAACATAGTACTGGTAGTTATTCAATAAAAAATTCAATATTCATTCAGTCACCATATGTACATTCCAGCAGTAATTAATAAACAAAACTCTAATACCTTGTAAACATGCAGCCAAATTTATTAACTTCCTAATGTTTTCGGGCATTTTAAATGACCTTTATCAAGAAAAAACTTTAAAATTTGAACACAGTACATTTGCATAAACGAATAGGCTTTTCAAACATTTTTGAATAATATTCTATTGAACATTAGGCGTGTAATCTTTATCAATATCTAATATTAACACATGAAGATAAAATAAAAAGCATAAAAATAAAATAAAATCGGGACCATGAAGAGAAAATAACCACAAACATTAAAAAGAAATTAAGACACCTCAAATATAACATATAATGTAACACGGGCATATAGTAATGTAAAAAGCATTTGAGCTGTCTGTTTCTTAAAAATGCATTTTCTACTGTATCCTTTTCCTCTGTATATTAGGGTTTATATCAAGCTTGAGCGCCATGCCGCCGACACTTTAGTTGATTCTCGAAAGTTGATGGAAAGATCTTTTTGGTGGCTTTACAGATCTGCCATGCTTCTGTGTAACGATGGAATGTTCCAAACCACTTGTATTAGTTTTGCTTAGTTTCATTTGGCTTTGACTTCTTGGGGGTCGGCTAAAATGTAAGTGGCCAAAGCTGTGCATGGTTGTTCACTTCTTACGTTTCTTTGGTGTTCCACTATCCTATCCTTGATAGATCTTCCAGTAGCTCCAATATACATTAATTTATTTTGTTGCCGTGTGTCTGTAATGGGGATTTTATAAACTTCAGGAAGTGTGTTCCTGTCGGCCTAATCTTTATCCAATCTTAGTAGTTGGTAAATGGTAGGGTTCCTTTTATAAATGATTCTTTTGTTTGTGGCTTTTCCGATGCGTTTACAGATATTACTCAGCGATACTCTATATTCTGTCATAGTAAACCCCTCGGTATTAGGTACTTTTCTTCTCTTGCAGCATTGGCTGGTAATAGCCTTAATATTGACCCTGTATGCCTTGGCTAGCTTATATATATAATTCAGCCCTTGTTCTGTCCTGGGTATTGTTACAGTGTGAATGGGCTCTTGTGATGAGTGCTCGAAATGCTGGTAATTTATACGCTGGGGGGTCATAGGAGATCCAGGGAATAAATATCGGGTTGTAGACCCGATATTTATCCCCTGCATCTCCTATGACCCTGGATCTCCTATGGGTTTTCAGTAGACCTTAGTATGGAAATCTTCTAGGTTGTCAAGTTGTGTAGATGGGTCCAAGAAATGTATCATCTTATCATTTTCCTGCTCGAGTTCTGTCTATAGGTCAAATCTGTTATCATTTATGTTCTTTATGAAGTGCTGTATGTTAAGTTTTACTTTCCAGAATATAACTACGTCGTCGATGTATCGAGCATATGTTAGCATTTGCATTTCGTATTTCAGCAATACTGCATTTTCTAGCATTCTAAGTATCATCTCACATAACAAACCTGCAAGAGGGCTGCCCATAGCTACACCTTTCTGTTGAGTGTAAGTGACACCTTTGAAGTTAAATATCAATGAAAAAATAGTAAGGTGCGCTAGCTCTAAAATCTGCTTTCTTTTCTTTTCTGGGGTGTTGATCTTCAAAACAGGAGGTCCCTTAGATGGCAAAAACATGGTTCCAGTTTAACGGACGGGTATAGCGCCTTGAAGTCCAACACCCTTCTTTTTGAAAACAATAGGAGAAAAGGAAAAAGAAGCATGGGACTCTTTCAAGAATGTAGTGCATAAATTTTTGGGGAATATACCCTGACTACAAAACCATTGTATAACGCATACTGGCAGCGTATGAAGCTCAAGGATGCAAGATGAGCTTAAAAGTTCATTTCTTATACTCCCATATTGACTATTTTCCCAAAAACTTGGGAGTCTACAGTGTGAAATAGGATGAAAAATTTCACCAGAATGTCCATAATATCGAGAGATGTTACCAAGGAAAATGCAATTTTAATATGTTAGCTGACTACTGTTGGATGCTCAATCGAGAAACCAGAGAATGAAATCAGAAACAAGTTCAGAGAAGTATCAAAGAGAAGAAGAAAAGGTGTCATAAGAAAAAAGAGTAAACCTAAAATTGTATATAAGTATCAGAAACAATTTTTTGATTAGTTGTAAGAAAATATAATATACTTCATTATAGTTCATTGTAATAAATAAGAGTTTTTATCAAAAATTTGTTTTTACTTCGCAAAAAACCTATATGTGATGGGATATTATGAAAGTCATTTTTAGAATCTATGATCTTTAAAACATAATTCAGCAAAAATATCCCATGCAGGTGAAAAAAAATTTTTTTTGCCGACCTGTGTAATGTAATAGTATATAATTAGTTTAATTACAATAGAGGAAATAACAAGAAAGTTTTGTTTAATATTACTTTTATTTTAAAATTAGTATAAAATTAGTATATAAAATTAGTATATAAAATTAGTAAAATTAGTAGTATTTTTAGTTTAATAACAAAAGTGTCCATGACTTATGACTCACTGTATACAGCCATTAATGCTCTATTTATCAATAATTTTTGATTTATCAGCATATTAATCATTATTCATTGGTTTCTCTAGTTTCTCAAAAAAATTTGGAAAAATATATTTGTATTATATATGCAAAATATTATACAATCAGTTATCATCTTAAACTGGCTCCAATAATGTTTGGTCATTAAACAATAATAGGAGTAAATGATGAATCCTGCATCAATATTGGTAAATAATTATTTTAAGATATTGTATAAGTAACATTGGTAAGTTAAGTTATAAATGTTAAACTTTGAATAGTTATCTATTTTCGGATTAATAATCAGACTATATAATTGTTGTTTTGTATAGTTGTAATAAAATATCCACAGTAGTAGTGTAATTTTTATAGAAAAATAATTAATTATTAAATGAATTTATCTAAATATATAAAATTGCTTGTCCTGACTGACTGAATGACTCACTCACTCACTGATTCATCATCGCCCAGAGCAGACCGCTTAACCTAAAGAGGTGAAATTTGGTAGACAGTTAGGAAACGTCACGGAAATGAACACTAAGAAGGGATTTTTTGAAATTCCTCTGCGGGGGGAGAGGGAGAGGATTAAGGCTTAACCAGAAGAACGGCTTCTACTGCACTATTTTAGATGCAATTTTTTGTTTTTATCTGCATTGTGGTAGGGTATGCCATGGCAATGCACACTAAGAAGGGATTTTTCAAAATTCCTCCGCGGGGAGAGAGAGAGAGGATTTAGTCTTCATTGAGTACTTAGGTGTATTAAATTAATAACATTTCAGACATTGTTATAAATATTTTTATCTATTTCGATTTTAAAAATGTTCAAACTGTTTTAAATTCAAATTTGTTATTGCATATTGGTTTGCCTATAGAACAATTGTAAACGTTCCAGAAAATTGATCTAATTGAAAATAGTTCATTTGATTCTTGGCAATTCTCATCATTCTCAGCAGTAGGTGTTATATAACAATTACTATGGTTGTTGAAATACTGAATATAAATGGGGTTTACTTGCAAAATCTGCGCGGGCAAAGCCGCGGGTAACAGCTAGTTAGAAAAATAAAGCTAGGCATATATATTAAGACAACAATATGATTTTTTTCTCATAATCTGTAGATGCAAAATGATTTGACAGAATGGATTAAAAGCGTTATATCAATCAAGATACTTGACAACAGCAATTTTTAGATTTGAAGAAATATATTAATAAAATTATTGCAAATTTGCAAATAAGGTAATAAAAATCAATACATAAACTGTACTTTCATTGATAATCACAAAAATGTTCTTTCACGTACAGCATAACTTTCTTACCTAAGGTGAAAACACTTATAATATATTTTCAATCATTATTTTTAAATATTTGTGTCAAATACAAGAATGAATTTCTTCATTATCAAAAATGATTTAACAAAATGAGAAAGTTTCCTACATTAAATTTTAAGATTCACTTAACTAATTTTTTTATCTATAGGATAGAACATTAATTTTTATTTTTTATCTTTACGTTATATAAATTTATTTCATATTTTTACATAAAAATAAATTTTAAATTACAGAAATTTTAAAAGTCATTTAAACATTTTAATTTTCTCAAATTTTAATTCGATTCAACTTTTAAATTTTACTTTTCAAAGTGCATATTTTATTAAATATTCGACTAAATATATACAGTAATTTAAAAATTACTACTACTATTGCCAACAAAACATAACTAATTTACATTTTAAATTAAACATATTATATTTAACAAACAAAACCATCGAATAATACAAAATAATAATCTAAATCTAATCTAAAATCTACAGATTTTAAAACTACTCTTATAATATGTAAATTTAAATTTAAAAAAAGAAAGAAAGAAACGTTATTTTTGTTTCATAATTTTTAAAAATATTTAAAACTCATATCAATAAAAGTAAGATTGATCTTTACATCAATTTTGACTGAAATAGAAGCTATTCAATAACACACAAACTTCTACACATAATTATCATTGAAAAAAAGAAAAGATAAATAAATAAATAAGAAATATTTTTTATAAATAACACGGATAGAAAATATATTCAATTAATTATTAAAATTGCCAAAATCATTTATTTTAGCCACAGATAATAACAAAAAAGGAGTAGCCGAATGAAACGAAGGAAGGATTAAGATATATAATGTTCAATACAGGCAATGCAGAAGAAAATCTGTTTACATTTTGTAAATATTGGAAGAATGTCAAACAATATATTCGAGTCAATTTAAAATATTGACAGAAATCTGTAATTACTTAAAATCACGCTTATATTGATATTTTAATACACGTTTTTTTTTTAAATATCTATTTATTGAAAATTCGCATTCACATTTATTATACTATAGTATAGTTGAAAGATACGGGAAAAGAGATGTAATTATACCTGATAACGTTCCCCAAAAGGAAACGCAAATAAAAAAGAGCCAACGATCCAGCATCCTCCTCTCGCTACCGGTTTATCATCGATGGAAATAAGGATCACAATCGACGCTCGTTCTGATGTTTGGAGAAACTGTCATGGCGATGACGGGTCGAGTTAAAAATGACAAAATTCAATAACCTTTGCGTCTACGTATCGAAACATTGTCGTTATATCTGTGACGTAAACAATAAATCAGAGCGAGTAAATATTCCTAAAAGACCATAAATCGGATGGCGACCACCGAGAAACAGTAGTCACACTACAATTCTCGATAACCAAACCCGAATGGAATCGCATTGCGCATGCTAGACCGGCGCTTATTAGTGCGACTGGCTTCATGATGAGAGTCATGACTCCTATCGACTACATTTAATGCGTGCTCGATTCGCAATGCACACACGTAACTCTCCCATGTTAATGAACTTACACTGAGACAGTTTGTTTTTAATCGTAAATATTTTATAATCTATATTATTATTATTTGCTGCGTTTTATTTAGAATTACTAATCGCATCCATCAGATTTCAAAATCATTTTTAATTTTTTATAATCTATATAATTTATAATTTAACAATAAATCTTCAGTTTCGAATAAAAAACAAATGTGTGGTGCGTAAATCACAAATGTACTGTACTGTACTGTACATGTACAAGCACGGTACATACAGAAATTGTATTGATACTATGCGTAGAAATGGCACGAACTCCAATTTAGCTTGTAAACATGAAACGATGATTATTTTTGGATACTATAATTAATGATCATAATTAAACATTCACTTGTCAACTTTCAACTGATATACAACTATCGATTTAAGCGTTATATAATATAGCTCACATTAAAAAAGTTTTCTACGTTATTATAAATATTTCAAAATAATAAAGTCATAAAACAAAATATAAGATATTCCGCTTAATTAACCTATTATTCGAAAAAAGTTAATTAGGATGGTAAATAGGATAATAAAGTTAACAACATTAGATTTTTCAAAACTCTTTCCGCCCCGTGGCACTAAGAGGGCCTCTTTTAGCAAGACCGTTATATGGACTCGGCCGGGCCCACAATGGGGCGGCCGGGTGGTGTGAGACGTGGCCCGACATATCCAGACGGACTCCCCCTGAAAAGCATTAGATGTTCTGGAGAAAAGGATCAATGCTTTATAAATCGAAATATTTTCGAAATTAATATCGTTATAATTCATTCTCTTTAACTGCTTTTTTTATAGAAGGTGATTCAGAACTTGTGGGACAAACTTTAAAGGACTGTAGAGCATACGACAAAAAACACTTTTCGTATAGGAAAATATGGGCGCAAGTGATGTACTGAAACACAAAAACAAGAAATAACACACGAAATAAAATATAAATTGTTTTACTTACAGACAAGTGCGTCTCTACAGCAATGTTTACAATAATTGCTCAAAATTTATCGAGCCTCGGTTACTTCTTATGGGACATTTAAAGGCTCTCGTTTACGAGAATCCAGTTGACTCTGTTGAGGACCTCGTCGCTCGAATATCCCTTGCGGTTGCACGTGTATGAGAAATACCTGGCATTTTAAAAACTGTACGCCAATCATTCCATCGACGCTACAAAGTTTGTATTACTGTTGGTAGAAGCAATTTTGAGCAATTATTGTAAAAAATTGCTGTAAAAACGCACTTGTCAACGATGCTGTAAGTAAACAATTTATGTTCCTTTCTTGTGTTATTTTCTGTGTTTGCACCTTAACGCGTCACTTGCACCCATATTTTCCTATATGAAAAGTGTTTTTTTGTTATTTGTTCTATCGTTCCTTAAAGTTTGCCCCATCACCCTTCTATTAAATAACTCATATATTGTATTAAGATTTTCAGAAAATAATATAAATCTAAAAATTCACACTTTTCAGAATTATAATTTATACATACATTATATTGCCACTAAGCGGATTTATGTCGGGTTGGATCTTCGCCCAATGATTTATTAGATTAAGGCAACGCGACACATGGGCGATCTACGAGACGGGAATACCTCCCAGGAGGTCTTTTATGGAAAACTGGCCCCTATTTACACGTTACTGACGTGAAAAAATTCCGGAAAACTCCACGTGGCAAGTCCGTAGGCGAGGCGCGAACCCATCACCAACTACTGGTGTTCAGTGGTTTTATTTATCCGTCACCTGGCGGGCTTTTCGTCCAATGAAATTATGAGGATAGAATTGAATTGGATTGATGGTATAAAGCAGAGGTCATCGAACTACGGCCCGCGAGGTCAGTTCATCCGGTCCGCCGCCGCACTGTACCACAAATGAGCTAAAATGTAATTATTTATATAGAAATATCATAGATTGTAGATAAATTTACTATATAGAAAAAATTAAAATAAATGTAAGTAAAATTTCCAAAATTGGTCCAATTTGATTTTTGCATCTGACAATAATATAATTTTCAGAAAAATCAGTGAAATAAACTGAGACTGTTTTTAATCGTAAATATTTTATAGGTGCTAATGCTTAGGATCATTTTTCTTCAGAGCTTGAAAGTCATTAATATCTTAGATTATTTTTTAGCTCTACAGACTAAGGTTTTATATAAACTACTAAGATAATTTCAAAATATTATTAAGTAAGTCCATTTTAATTTCGGCAACTTTGGATATCAGAGCGCCTTTTGTGCAATGAAGTTTCTAAGGAAAGCCATTACAAGCTTGCTTCAGCCATCGTGTTTGTATTGGTAAATAAATATATTGGTTGTCATTATTTTTTGTGTATTCAGTGTATTGTTTTAAACAAAACGGTTATGCGGCCCACGCTCGTCATTCAGTTATGTGGCCCGTTGTGAAAAAAGCTTCGTGACCCCTGGTATAAGGCAACGCCAAGAAAAAGATGCCACTCGGGAAGACTTTTATGGGAAATTGGTCCCTATTTAGGTGTTAGACATGTGAAGAAAACCCGTAAAACTCCCCATTGGTGTGGCACAAACCCATAACTAACCAGTGACACACTCAGAGGGGTTAAAAGGCTTTGGCACACTTCAAAGGAAAAGGAAAGAAACACTAAAAAGTTTTCCAAAACTTTTCCTAATTAAAATTCATTTATTTATTTATATTCTGTAGTCTTCTATTTCTATACTACTTATGAATTAGCGATCACATCAGGTGGAAATTTTACCGACACCACCCTAACTACAGGGCTAAATGGACTATAGCTTCGGGTCGCCAGCCTTTTGGGGCGGCAATTTTGCTTGCACTTAAATCAACAAAATTTGACGGCTGAGACCAGTGCGTAGTTGCCAGTTGCCTTGCAATTAGATATACACACTACAGGCACGACACAGACTTGTCTTTACTGCGAACCGGAAAAGATGCACTTACCTTCATTCTGAACTTCAACATATTCTTCCAATCTGGTATTTTTCAATTTACATATTGGTGTTCTAATAATATATTATATTTTTAATTTCTGCGGTAACTGGTCAGTTAATCTTTACTTCCTAGCGTTAACTTTAAGAATAATTTTTTAATTATATTTGAAGGCAAGGCTAATCTTGGAACTCAAACGAAAAAAGTTATTTGCTTCGCCAATCGTAAATTAAAGGAAGAGAAGGAGGCAAGGCAAAAAGCCTTTCTGGAAAAATGCTACATTAAAAATGCCTACATTAACAAATTTCTATGGAAATTACATATTGGTAACACAAGGAAAAGAAGAAAATCAACAACAGTATGATAATAATCCCAACGATCAAATGAGAAAGAAAAAGAAGATACACAAACACAACAATAGGAGAAGCAGGAGGAGCAACAAGACATGCAACAGCCACAGCCAAGAAAGGCCAAATGGTCAAGCGATCAAGGTGGCAGCCTACTGCTCTGGAGACCCGGATTCGAATCCGAACGTGTCGAAATATCCCCAGGAATTTTTCGGGGTGGTCCGTCCGGATATGTCAGGGCCCCATCCCTCACCACCTGGCCACACCATTGTGGGCATGGCTGAACCCATAATGGGCTTGCTAAAAAGATGCCCTCTTAGTGCCCACAGGGCATAGAGTTTAAAAAAAAAAGAAAAAAAGCCACGGCCAGAAGAACATCAGGAAAGAGAACATTTAGATGAAGATGAAGCTAATAATATGCTACGTTAATTATGATGATTCTGAATTATGGGGAAAATTAAGCAAAGTAAACATTAAATATACAATCAAAAGCATATCTAATGTAGATGTAGATATTCAAAAACTGGACTTCACTGCATCTAAAATGGTCTACAAATCACAGAGCAGGTATGCTACGAAAACGATATTTTATAGACATTTACTAAACGGAAAACAACAAAAACAAAACTGGCTTTCATACTAAAATTCTTCAGGAAAAGTTTATTGCATCCCATGCAAACTATTTGGTAGTGTGAGTAATGCATTTAGTACAGGGTTCAATGATTGGAAACAGTGAAAAATTTTCGGAGCATGAAAATTCTGCCCTTCATAAAGAAAACACCCGTGTACTTGTTAACCGATCTACAGAAAAATATGAATATTTCAAAAATTATTTAATTATAACAATGGCAAAGAATACAAATTACTGAAAAAATATTTTGGAACAGATTGTCAAAGTAATCAAATTTTCAAGTTCAATGGACTTGGCTTTTAGAGAAAACAACCAAATTATTGGTAATAAACACAATGGAAATTATATAGAGAGCATAGAACTTTCAGCAAAAATTTATCCTATCTTACAACATTTATTTAATTTTGCAAATAATGGTACTGGGCATGTCCCTTATTTATCAGTAAATATTTGCGATGAGTTTGTCAAAATATTGGGTAGCAATGTTAGAAGTTTTATTATCTCGGAATTAAAAGACGCAAAATATTACTCCATTACAGTAGATTCGACGTCCGATATCTCCCATATGGATTACAAGTATTTTGGTTAGATATATCAATAAAAATGAAACTCCCGTGGAAAGGCTTTTAAAATTTTTAGAAAATACTGGCCGTAAGAGCGCAAAAATGGGAAGATTGGATTCTAAAGCTATTATCTGATTTACATATTAATCTGCAAGATTGTAGAGGGCAATTTTATGATAATGCCTCCAATATGTCGGGTATATAAAGGGGCCTCCAAGCACGCATTAAATCTCAAAACAATCTTGCTATTTACTTATCGCGTGAAGCACATTCTTTCGATTTAATTGGAGAATCGGCGGCGGAATGCTGTCTAGTACAACCAAATAATTTTTATTTCTATATACAGTTTATTTTTATATACAGTTTAGACAATTTCTTTGCCGCGTCAACATCAAGATAGGAAATTTTATAAAATATGGTAGCACCAAAAAACAGTTCTGAAAAAGTTAAGCGATACTAGTTGGTCAGTAA